GCCGACGTGATGATGTGGCGCTGCGCCTTGTGCGACGCCAGCATGCCCTTGAGCACGTAGTTGATCGACTCGGTGCCACCCGAGACAAAGAGAATCGATTCCGATGGGCACCCAAGGAGCGCGGCGACCTGTGCGCGGGCGGTACTTAGCGCCGCTTTGGCCGCCTGCCCGAGCTGGTGCGTCGACGACGGGTTGCCGTACGTCTCTTCCAAGCACTGCGTCAGCGCCGATATGACACGCTACGAGCATGCTGCATGAGCCATACTACCATGCAGCGGCAAGGATGGCTACCTTGTCGACGGGCGTCGTCGCGTTGTAGTCGAGGTAGATCATGCTGCAAGCGGGACCGCAAGTGCGTGGCAGCGTATCCGGATGCATCCCAAAACGAGCTGTTTAAACGTCACGTTCAACGTGGGTTTTATGGCACGTTGTGGCGCGAAGCCAGGAGTCGTCACGAAGAGGCTCGGCAACCTCGCAAGCTAATGAGCCCTCTCCTTTCACTGCAGTGGCACTGCAAATGGCGAGCCAAGTGCAAGGCCGACAGAGCCAAGGCGTGCACCGCTAGCAATACCAGGTTGCTACAAGCAAAAGCTTGACGTCGTGATCGCAACCGCTGCCATGAGAGCATGGATAGTCGACTATCTAGATTACTACAGCAGGACAGTCGTAGAGAACGCGGGTCATCACTGCGCGTCAGTCCATAGCCTGAGCCAGAAGGCAGCGGTCGCTCAAGCCGCTCGCTACAGCTCCCAGTGATCGTGATCGGCTTGCCATGATATGCTTCCATCCGATTGGTGGACGCTTGTGGGCCATCAACGTTAAAGTGTGTTTAAACTATAAAACGCGTGCGCAGATCTGGCGTGCGGCGTGCAGAGCTGGCGTGCAGTGTTTGGATCTGGCCCGAAATGGGAGCGATGGCAGGCGACGACGCGCAGCCCGCGTCCATGGCAGCGACGATGCTTGTACCTGCTACCTCCTTCGTATTAGCTCTGTCGCTCATGGCCATGACCGTAGGGCAGCGCGATGGCCGGCATCCTCGGGCGCATTGTCTGCCACCCCATGGACATGGCCAAAGCCAACCTCCAGGCGCACAGCACATACCGCAATGCATGGCATGTTCTGACGCAAACGATAAAGTACGCACGAGAAGGCTCGTCCACTGCTTGTGGCCATGAAGCTATGCGATTAGAGCCGAAGGCGTGCGCGGCCTCTACAAGGGCTTTGGCGTCGTTGTTCTCGGCTCGGCGCCGGCCACGTGCCTGTACATGACGTCGTACGAGGTGCAAGATCGCTCGCCGCCTCTACTGCGCCTCGTAGATGGCTCATGTCAAGGGAGTAGGAAAGCAAAAAGTGGCTCACGCAGTCGCCGCAGTTCCAAGACGCGCCCTTCCTCACGTCCTTCTCAGCCGGCATTCTTGCAGAGGCGTTTAGCTGCGTCTTCTGGGTGCCCATCGATGTCATCAAGGAACGCATGCAAGTGCAGACGCTGCATCAAGCCAACGGGTACAAGAACACATGGCATGCGCTGCAGACGATCGCGCGCACCGAAGGCCTCCGTGGCATGTACAAAGGTCCTCTGCGCGTCGATTCCTTTTCTCATGCAGCAAGAAATTAGGGTATGGCGCGACCATGTGGTCGTTTGGCCCGTACTCGGCTCTCTTCTTCGTGGCCTACGAGCAAGTACGCGGCTCCTGCATGCTCTATGGCTATTCGTACAATGACGGCGTCTGCTAGAACAAGGCGACGGCGACGCGTTGGCATGGCTCGACCGATGTCCCGTTCTCGTCGCTGCTTCTCTGCTCCGTCTCGGCGAGTGCGGCCGCTGCGTTTTTGACCAACCCACTGGACTTGGTCAAGCTGCGGCTCCAGGTCGATTTTCGGATACGTGATGGAAATACAGACGCACATGTAGGTCGAGCGATTCCAGGCGGCGTCGTCCGGTGCACCGAGCCAGTACAAGAACACGTTGGATGGACTCCGGCGCATCATAACGTGGGCCAAAGATGGTCACATCTCAGAATGCACTCATGTGTTGGCACTGGACGCTTAGGCAAGAGGGACCCACGGCGCTGTGGAAGGGGGCGGGAGCCCGCGTTGCGTTCCAGGCCCCGCTCACGGGCATTACAATCGCCATTTACGAAAAGTGCAAAGACATGTGCGCGACGTTGGTCTAGTAACGATAAAAGACTAGCTAGTCAGAAGACGATTCGAGTAGCTTATTGTACAAACCAGATTATTCAATTCCAGCTACCAGATACGGACTTGATTGTTGTGTAGCCAGGGGATATAAGAAGATTTCTTAGATCCCTTGATTGTAGCATTCCAAATTGAATCGAAGCTTGTTGTGTGTGATTATTTTGCATGGGATTGCCGATCCTGTAGAAGGACTGCCTTGTAGCAAATGGCCTAGTAGTGGACTCGTAGCGCATTGTGGCCCCTCGACGTCGCCCTTTCGAGGCAACCAACGCGGCTGTTACGGGTAAGCTGCTACTCAATGAATGCCAACAGCTGCAGCAAACTCTCAACATCGCGTTGGGTCAAATTGTATCTTTGTGTGGGAAGTGGCTACCACGAATCATGCAAGATGCTACCTAGCTGGCAGTTGCGAGGAGCTCATTCTTGTGGTGAGCGAGGTTGTCGGGAGCTCCTGCGCGTAACGACAGCTTCGACATACTGCTACCGCTGAGCTCTACGACCCATGGAAAGGTTGCGCCAAACATTTGGCTGGTTGGGTCACCAACGACACCTCTACACCCAGACGTTGCACGCCTGGCTCTGGTACACGGCAGCCGACAGCGGCCAAGACGACGAGAAATGGGCGGCGGGACTTCCGGCTCAGACAATTTTTTATACGAGTTGCGAATTCGAGCCTCTGGTTTATATAATGTGGGTTGCAAGCGTCTCATGCGTGCGTGCTGGATGCTAGGCTTGCCGCTATCGAGTAGCAAGGCTCATGAAGCTCGATGCTATCGCTTTGCCGTGCACGTTCGTGGTCGAAGCTACCTCTTTGGTTGCTTTACTCGTCCCTGGCGAAATGTGCCTTCTCTCGTTTGGTGCGTCGCAAATTTGGACCTCGGCGATCGCAACACCCATGCACGCCGCTCGTCGCGCCACGTACGCGCGACAATCCACCAATCGAATCGAGTCCATGTACCGTTTCCACCAATCAGAGCTCGCGACACGAACATTGAGCGACAAAACGACAGGCGATTGGCTCATGCAAACACAACAAATTCTTGCAATGGCGGAATAACTTAGGAGGCGTGGAGGAACGCCTGGGCCAGCGCCCGCTGCGGCTGGAGGAGGCGAGAGTAGTCGACGAGGTTCTTCATGGTCGGGTCGAGGGCAAAGTCGAGGTACAAGCAGTCTTCGTACACGACGTCCAAGGGCGTGCGCCTGTGCTTTTGGCGACGGTCCAGATGGTTTTGGCGCGTGAACGGGATGTTTTTCCCGCCGACGTAGAAGCGGTCGCGCTTCCGAAAGATGAGCGGGATCGACACCGGCACCGATGTGAGGCGCAATGGTGCTGCGTACTCGCTGCTGCGTGCGGCTGCAGATTGCGAGAACGAGTAGGAATATGAGTACGACGTGGGCTTGAGGAGCACGGTGGTATTGGATCGCGCAGCTTGCTTGGGCGACGTGACCGGCGACTCGTCCGAGGCCTGTGTCGTCGCATCGTCATCGTCGTCGTCGTCCATGACTGGCTGCTCGCTGCACATGACGACCTGGATCGCG